GGCTACAGAGAAGAGAAGATGATGCTGCCCCAAATTCAGAACCAGGGGAATAATTTCTCCACCTTCCCGCTGGCTTCAGCTTCCAGCAGCATGCATTCGATGCCGCCTCCTGTTGATCAGCAGAGCCCGTACGGCTACAGAGAAGAGAAGATGCCGCCCCAAAGTCAGAACCAGGGGAAGGATTTCTCCATTTACAGCACAGCTTATCCCAGCTCTGTCACAGGAGGACATTCGTACAATAATTACGGTAAGAAGAAAGGCTCAACAAAAACGTTTTTGGATGTTGTTTCATAGATGGGTGGATGAATGAATTGTGGTTGGATGTCTTTGCACAGGGTGGAGGAACTAGTCGTTCTGAGGGATTTGGCACCTGGGAACACAACCGGCAGTGATCCTGTCACCTCACACTGCTGTCTTTTTAACCCTCAGCCTGGACAATGATGCTGAAAAAACACTTCCATTAACAAAAAACATACATTTTGTTAGTGAAATTAGAATGTTGCTGTTTTGTTTCATCACCCTTTACCGATGTTTGTAGTTTGTAGACACCAGATTATCTGTAAAGTTCAGGCCCAACCTAAAACGAGAATTCCTTTCTTTAAGCTTCTGTATCACTGTATCAGTTATCTATGTTTAATAGCAGAGTGTGATTCTGATTTAAGGCCTATTGTAGTTTTAAAATAAATATTTGTTGTCCTTAAGATCAAGGTTCAAGTTCAATAATCCAGGTAAAAAAATCCAACAATGTTCAGTCAGGTCTTCTGGACAGTTTTTTTTTTTTTTTTTTTTTTTTTTTTTGGTGAGACGTTTCATCCTTCATCCAAAGGACTTCATCAGTCTGAGGAGCCACAAACAAACTGTGTCCCACAAGCAGCGCACTCCCATAGTAGACCAACCAGTATAAGATAGTTTCTGGGGGCTGCCCTCTCCCCCGTCGACTCTTCCCATGCAGCCACAGCCAAAGTGGTTCAGAACATCAAAGTTCATGCTCAATAATCCAGGTAAAAAAATCTAATGTTCAGCCGGGTCATCTGAACAGTTTCTTTTTTTTTTTTTTTTTTTTTTGTAAGAATAACCATAAAAAATGCAAAACGAGAATAATGGGAAGAGAAAGAAATTAGTAAAGTTTGGTGAATGATTAAAAAAATGGAGTAAGAGTATGGGTATCCAGTTTTGTGTGATGGAGAAGTAACACCAGTTTAAAATCAGGAGCTAACTGAAATGATGGCTAAAGCTTTTATTAAAATTCATAGTTCAAATAATATTAGTGAAGAAGGAAAAAGTGGAAGAGAGAGAACCATAACAGAAAATGGAAAGTTCTTAGAAGAAGAGGAAGGAGAAATGATTCCGTAAAATATACCATTTACTAAAACTGAATTAAATCGAGCAATATATAAAATATTAGCACCAGGAAATGGTCAGATTTATTATGTTATGATAAAACAACTAAGTGAACCATCAAAAGACATTCTTTTAGAATTATTTAATCTGGGCAGAAGGAAAACTACCACGGTCTTGGAAGGAAGCCATAATACCAAAACAAAAACCAGGAAAGGATCAAACCAGTGCACCATAGACTAGTAGCTTTAACATCTAACATTTGCAAAATTATGGAGAAAATTATAAATGAAGATTAGCATATTATTAAAGAGAATATGTCTAGATATCAGAGCAGTCTTAGAAAAGGAAACACGATGGATCCAGTCTTGTGTTTTGTACATGAAATCAGGAAAGCTCAGATTAACAAAGAAAGTGGTAGCTGTGGTTTTATATGATATACTGTATGTGGAGAGAGGGATTACTTAAAAAAAAAAAAAGATTGCAGGTCGAATGTTTAAATGGATTAGAAAAAGGATCAGAAAACATACAGGTGAGAATATAGGACAAGGTTACTCAGATAAATATTACATAGAAAACGGGACACCACAGGGAAGTATAATAAGCCCTTTGTTATTCTCATGAATGATGAGAATGTTTGATGATGTAGAAAATGGAATGGGAAGGTTATTTGCTGATGATGAGGCTTTGTGGAAGAGAAGGAAAAAAGTTTATTAAAAAGGCACAGGAAGCAATTACCGGTACAACGGTTGAAAAGTAGTCAGATGAGGATTTAAATTTTCAATACAAAAAGACTAAAACAGTATAATTTTCACAAGAAAAAAGATAACTAATAATAGTTAATTTAGATATATATGGACAAGTAATTGAAAGATAAAAACTATGAAGTTTGGTACCGGTATGGTTTGACGAGAGAATAACACGGGCAGTGCACATAAAAAAACTGTTAAATGTAAAAAAAAATCTAAACATGATGAGGTGTTTTACTGTAAGAGACTGGGGAACAGACAGGAAATCACAAAGGACCATCTACACAGGATTAATCAGATCAATACTAGACTATGGATTATAGCTCAGCTTCAGAAACAAATTTAGAAAAGTTAAACCGTATACAATATCAGGGCTTAAGAACTATTACCAGTGCATTTAAAACAACACATACAGGATCAATATTGGTAGAAATGGGAGAACCACCACTAAACATCAGAAGAGAGTTGGCTCTAAACTACTAAACTATCTTTGACAGGCCATGAACAAAACCATCCAACACAAGAAGTGTTAAAACCATGCTGGGAAAAAGAGACACGCAAAAAGCTTTGGATGGACAATAAATTAAAGTAGATGATAATTGTGAGCCCAAATACCACTACCAATCATTCACCCAGGATACTCAGACCCAGTAGTTGATCTGAAAGTATTAGCAAAAAATAGAAATGGTTTAAACTCAAATACATTTATCAAATGTATTAACCAATATTATGGATATGTAAAAATATACACAGATTCATTAAAGGATGCAGCAGATTGGATCGGGGCAGCATTCTGGAGTTTGGATTGAAGGAGGTTAAATGCCTAAGTTTACACATGAGAAATGGTGGCAAATTTATTACTGTCTTTTGAAGATAATCATGCTCAGATTCCAGTTCATCATTAATTAGTTGGGGTTTTTTTTAAAGAGTTTTTCAGAGTCAAACCAGATATATTGCTGGAAATACAGCAAACTTTATATATAATTAAGATGATGTTCATTGTTACATTTGTATGGGTGCCAGCTCATATAGGAATACGAGGAAAATAAATTGTTGATAAAGTTGCAAAGGAATATCGGTAAATGTGACTACTGTGGAGAAGATGAGACAATAGAGCATGTTATTGAACTGCCAGAAATACAGACATGAAAGAAGTCAACTGATTAACAGTCTCACTAAAATAAAAGTAAGATTCGACCCTATTGAATTGTTACAAGGGAATTCAAATGCTGAAAGTACCAATTTTATTAAGATACCATAAACAGTCTCGTTTGTTTGAAAGAATGAGTTCTATTTATTCATTCATTCATTCATTCTTATGGATGGATTGTTATTATTATTTTTATTTTTTGCGCCTTTCTATTTCACACTCCTAACCAGCAGATGGCGATAATGCTCCAAAACATTGTCTGCCAACCGCCAAATAAAATCGACGAAGAAGAAGCAGGAGACGCCCGCCATTGCGGTCCGGCTGCTGCTGGTGCAACACACGTAGGAAAAACAAGATTCTCACCGGGAGGACATTGAATGTTGTGATACCATCTAAAGAAACGTTAAGAAAGAGTGGCAACGCTTTCATAAAAGTCTACAACTGTTAGTTTGTTCTGTAAGAAAGGTGAGCCGTGATAGCTTCAACTAAATGACACATTTGAGCGATTGTGTTAGCTAGTTGATCACGCTAACGTTTAGAGGGTAGTTAACCTATTATTTATTGGTCTGGCTGGAGAGTTATTGGCTTATAGATTAACTAAATCACAGATATTCTGCATATAAATAGCTCAAGCATTCGTGCACAAGTAAATAGTTTGCATCTAACAGCCATCATCCTTTCTTCGCAAGATGTTTATGTTAGCCGCTAACTTTAGCTACCAGCTAACGTCTTCATGCTGACACCCGGCGCGTACTGAATAATTTGATATAAATAATCTCTTCCTTGCTTATTTTATCCCAGTTAGTACTTCTGAATAATACATTTAATTTTTCTCAATGAGGCCTCGAAAGGGCAGTCGTGACGAGATGGCGGCGTGGGACGAACAACAGGCCTACGAAGAGCTGCTGTATTGGGACAGTTTGATCCAACGGGGCCACCTTCTCGTTCCTAAGGATCAGTACAGGTATACTGAAAGCATGCACTGTTTTCCTTTATGCACACTAAACTATAAGTAGTGAAAAGCAAGTACATTAGTCCCTCGTTTATCGCGGCGGATCGTACCTTGAATATACGCGATAAGAGGAAAAACCGCGAAAGGAAAGCGTTTCCTTTCCCACACTATTGGACTATTCTAAACAATGTTTCTAAACGCTCTAAAAGAGCACAGAATGTCATGATTTCCGTCTCTGCCTCGCTGCTCTCAGCTGCCTGCAAGCGTTCTTGGCCGCACCCACTTTTCCTCTTCACGGAGAGCAGCTGATCAGCTGCAGGAGGAAGCTTATCCTGCAGTGTGGGCTGCACACAGGTGCTAAATAATTTATTTTGAATAAAAATTCCATGCCGATCGTGCGGCTCATCCATCAGTCAGCCAATTATGTGTAAAGTCTAATCTTATTTTGAAAAACCGTGATAGAGCGAGTGCGAAAAACAAACCGCAAAGTAGCGAGGGACTACTCTATACTGTTAATGTTGCACCTTGTCAAGTGTACATGCATTGCATTTTATGGAAGTCCATACTAGAAGGAACTACTAATTTGCTTCATAAATTAAAAGTTTCTACATGCATCTCATTAGTGAAGATAACATACTATTTAACGAGAAAGTATTTTCTAATATAACCGATTTATTAAATCAGTAAATCTGTTGCTTTTTCAGTAATATTGTCACAAGTGTAACTTGGTGGTTCTTGCAACTTTAAGCTGTCTCTCATCCCTGAGCTCTTGGTTTTAACATTCCATCTATTTAGATACGAGGAGTTGCGGTATTGGTATGACTGCCTCTTTTACGAGGAGGAGCTGAGGCAGTACCATGACTACATTGCTTCTTTCGAAAATATGGAGGATCATCAGCAAAATAAGGTTTTTATTTCACCTTTTTGTTAACACTTGGGTTTTTTAATCTTCAGTGCTGTGCAGGTGTTGAACAACCATTCCTTTTGACATCATAATGTTTAGTAATCATTCAAAGTGGCCTTGGCCATCAGTGAGTTTTAATTTTTAGGTTACCTTATTCACGTTAAGGACAACACTACTAAAAGAAAAGCTCCAGTCTTCTTTATTGGGAAACAAGCATTTTATTTGTTAAATAAATGTAGCTTGGAGGGACCCCTTTTCTTTATGATTTATAACAATTGTGATTTATGCAGAAGTAAATTTGATGTGATTGTAAAAAAAATTTTGAAATGTGAAAAATTATGTGTGTATTAAAAAGAGAATCAGTCAAATGGTTTAACTTTTTTTTTTTGTCTTACAGGAGACTGCACATCTGTCTAGAAAAGCTTTAAAAAAAGTGAGTTGATCCCATTTGTACAGACCTCACCCCGCATCAAACTGTTCAGCTGGTATCAAACATTTGTTTCGTAACAGAATGAGGAGGAAACCTTGGCTGGTGACCTGCACCTCAATTCATCTTCTGTTTGTGTTTTTCTTATTTCCCTGATGTGTCCTTCCATCTTTGTTAACCACAGTACTGGAAGTCGAGAGTAGAAACAAGAAGAGTTATTTTTGTAAGTTCAGCTGACTGAAGAAAAGAGAAGCGGTTAAAGAAAAACAAGTTGATAAGTGACTTTGTACCTTTTAGAAGAATCGCTCCAGCTTATGTGTCGCCTGACTCCTGACACTGCAGAGCCTCTTTACTGGGGCTTTAACAGACTACTCGAGTAATCAACACGTCAATTCCTTGGACATCTTGCGAGTTTTTAAATTTCATGACGAGTATTCACAGTTATGTCATTATGTCGCAGTCATGTCATTGCGTCACGTGTCATTTGATCCACACCTTGCGTTGTAGAAGCTACAAAATTGATTCCTCTGAGCAGACTAATGGCACGGAGCAGGCCTGTCCTTGGCAAACAGGTAGAAATGCATCAATAGTCTGGAAATATTTCACTAAAGATGAATCTTCCAGTTCATCTACTGTAAGGAAACAGAAAAGGAATCAACTTCCTGATTGACTGGAGCTCCTTGCAAACCGGTGTTACACCATATTCTGTGACCACCATACATTGTGACCTTAGGGGGCGGTGTTGCATGCACTATTGCAGATCACAGAATATGATGCAACACCGGATCCTATCGACCAAACCAGAACCATCTTCCTCTGACCTTGTTTCACAAACAAAAAGCAAAAAATATTCATCTCTAAACCTATAAAAACACCTATAAACATATTCATCTCTAAAACTAAACCTAATGCGCACAACTGCAGGCGGTGGTGCGGCGTGGTCGTCCGCCCCGCAGTTTTTAGTTTCGTTTTTTACGTGCCGCACGTTTCTTTTACTTAATAGTTGGGGTTTTCCTGTGACTTATTTGCGGTATGATAAATGGTAGGAGCATAATATACGCTCCCAATGTTTTGTTGGTCTTTTTGTTTTGTAAATAATAAGTGACCTTTTTTTGCGGTTTTATTTATTTATTTATTTATTTATTTATTTGCATCTTGAGATCCTATGACGTCATCAACTACTCAACTTTTATTATGTTAATGTCGACTTTAAAAATTATGTAGTCGTTCAACCCGTACTCTTTACAACATCACCATCCTCTGGTTACCTTGGATGAAATATTGACCACAGTTTCTCAGTGAGATTAAGACATACCTCTTCCTCCTCCTCGCTGTTCTGCTCAGGTCTGATTGGACTTTAGTAAGAACCCAAACAGATTAAGTCAATAATCAGCCACCAAGCTTTGATCCAGTAAGGGGCCGTATTCACCTGGTGAGAAAAGAGACTTCTTGAGTCTGATGAGTTCCAGCTGATGCTAATTTAACACAGTTTTATCAGAATAGCCCAACAGTCTAGCAGAACTCTTAATGACCAAAATCTCAAAATTAAGACTTTTCCAAATTAATCTAAATTATCTTCATTGCACAAATAAATCCCAAGTCATCCTCCTGCCCAAAGGATTCTTTAGGTTTAGATAATTCAATTAAGTTTATTTATATAGTGCCAATTCACAACAGAAGTAATCTCAGGGAGCTGAATAAAAAAAAAAAAGCTTAATAGATAGCGTAGATTTGCAAACAACTTTCCCTGCATTTCGACAGAAAGCAGCGGCTCAAAGCACTGTTGGCTTTTGGGTAGTATAGTTGTTTTTTTGACGGGCGTTAACAGTGTAAGCTCATTGAAAGAAAACTACAAAATGGCGGTTCCTATCCAAAGTATTTTTTTTTTGTTAACATTTTATTTCATACCATTCCAATCACGTGAGTAATAAAGTTGACAATCGTTGATAAACCGCGAAAGAGTGAGTGAGAAAGTCAAACCGCGAAGTAGCGAGGGACTTCTGCATTTGTCATTTGGTTTTATCTGTTTTTTATTTTGTGTTTTTGTTTGATTCGTTTTTTCTTTCTTTTTTTTTACCCCCCAATCAAGGCAGCAGCACTTCAGAAGGTTCCCGGGCCATACGATCACGTCATAATGGCCAAACACTCAGAAGTGTACCCCTCTGCAAAGGAGCTGGAGGTTGTGCAGACAGTCGTTTCCCACGTAGAGTGTGCTCTCAAGAGTGTTTCTGACATGATGGATGCCCCAAAAAATGGCAGTGGAGCTGCAGAGGCTGAGACGTAAGAAGCATACCCAGCTGGTCTGTGTTAGTTTGTGTGTTTAAATGCCTGGCAAACAAAATAACGTGCACACAGCCAAGAACAGTTTTGTGTGCAGAGACGTGAAAATGGGCTATGACATAGTAGATGTTAAGAAGTGAAAAGTTAAATATATTTGCATTGACGGGACAAGATGATTGAAATATGAAGATTATGCGAGTCATTCTCTCAACCCAGATACTCATCTTTGGGTGCTTTAGATTTTCTTAAGCTATTGACTTTTATAACATGGTAAAGAAGTTGTTTATTACTGGTACTCGTCTTTTTTGTTTTTTGTTCTGACTGTGGCAGATTATCCTCCCCTTGCTTCTCTTTTGTTTGTTGTGATTCACAAATAGTGACATTCCCATCTTTACTTAGGCCATATGACTTAGGCTTTGATCAACTCTTCATAAATTCAATTAAAACAAGAATTAAGAGAATTCCTTGGAGGTATAGTGTTTTGTCCCCACGCTACAGTTCGCAGAAGCACTGAATTTGCTCTGATAGAGTAGAAAGACATTTCATATGCTCTTTTTTTTCTGTTCTTTCTCCTGTTAATACAAGTAGTGAAGAGCGTATCTTGCGTGGAGTTATGAGGATTGGCCAGGTCGCCAAAGGACTTCTACTGAAAGGAGACCTGAACCTGGAACTGGTGTTACTTTGTTCCAGCTGGCCTACAAGCTCTCTGCTTACACAAGTGGCTGAAAAGTTAACAGAACAACTGGAGGTAGACATGAATCCCTGCTGCTGCATTGTGGCATAATAAAATATATATTTCTTGTTTTTTATCTTTGTTTTCCTAAATGTTTTAATAATTTTAATAGATAATTTCTACTGGAACCTATGAAGTAACCCCAACTCCTGAGGATGCCACTATTGTTGTGAAACGTACCAAGTTCTCAGTGCCGACTCTTTTCATCCACCTGACCTCTCCTCGTGTCAGGACAAATAAGATGAGCTCCACAGCAGAGACAGGAGGTGAGTATATTGGTCCAGTTTCCAGTCGTACCTCGGCTCTCTGAGGCCTGCTCTCTGTGCTCGCGGCTCGCTGTCACTGCCCTGCTCCACTGATCTATAATTGTGGGTTTTACTCCACAGAATTTGTTTGCATTTCATTATATCTCAGTGGTGTTTGTACAGCGATTATTTCAAACTGGTGCTCAACAACCAGTTGAACTGGGCATCTCTTCTGATCGACAATCTTGGCGTCGTTTTGTGATGCACTGGTCGCTACATTTTCCTCTGTAGCTTCTGATCTATTCTGTTCACGTTGTTAATTACAGTATTTTTTTTTTAAAGTGCTCTTTTTGTTGATTTTCTGTTAAAAGTCAACAATCTTTTAGACGTAACTGGTCAAAGCGCGTATTGCATGCCCTTAATGGTGTGCATGTACATTCGGACCCTGTTGCTGCAAAACTGATGAACAAGAAATAAATTTTTCTGGGTTGTTTGGGGAGAACTTCAATTTGACAGACAAAAACGTTGATTTGAAATATTATAAATCAGTTTGTTAAATAAAGGCTATAGTTTGTTTAGCTTGGTTCAACAGCTTGGACTGTTTTAACACAAAAGTTTGAAGTTACAGTTCAAACCTAGCGTTAACTTCCATCTTAATGTTTCAGTTGCAAGTGGACAGCTCTGAGTATTCACACCTGGCAGTTAAACGCATAACCCAAAATGTATTTATTGCAACTGAATGTCAGTGGGCAGATTCTTGCTGAACTGGTCAACAAATGGGGTGTTAATTAGAAATAACTATAGTTTAGCTTTCATGCAGAAGACAGCTGTATAATTATTTTTTTGTTTAGTCTTTATTTTCTTTTTACATTTTTTTGTTTTGTACAACTCTGCCTCAGTTAAAAATGACCAAACTATTATCACTCTTAGACTTTTGAAGACCCGATAATTTAACTTGACCTTGAAGAAATAATTTTCTAAAACAAACTTGCTGTGGCTTTCTGCATTTCCATTCTTTTAAGACCTTTTTTAAGACACTTTAAAACCGAGACAAATCAGTTTTGCTGCAGTGTGGGACAGACATAAACTTCCAAATGCTTGTGGTTTACAACTGATTGCATTAAAGTTTGTCAAGTTTTGTAGGGATGCTGGACCTTTGACCAACTGGCTGTCTCAGGAAGTGAGGGGTCGCAGCAAACCCAAGCTCTGAAGCTGATGGAAGGGGGTGTTCATTGTTGCATAGGTCACATACTTTCACTACATTCACCGATGTTAGTATTAGTCATTCTATAACGGTATTTTAACTTCCTAGCAGGGTAGATAATGAAGGTTAGATCTGTAAGACTTTCAAACCAAGAGTTAGATACTTTGAACCCCCCCCTTCCTTCCTGCTGCTGTTGCTTTGGGAAAAGCTGCAACTCCCTGAGCTGCAAGACAGAACCAACCCCCTTGGTCAAACTGTGCCTTTTCTTCTTATCCTACCTCGTCAGTAGAAACGCAAACAGTCGACCATCCGCCGGACATGCTGGACAGGCAGAAATGCCTCTCTGCCTTGGCGTCTCTTCGCCACGCCAAGTGGTTTCAGGTTTGCATTCACGTCCTTATTTGTACATAAGGTTGAACATTTTCCTTTAAATGATCTGACCTTTTGTTTTCTGTCATTCTAGAGACGATTGGCTATTTTAAATGTGGTTTGACATCTTAAGATGGCTAAATTTAAATACTTGAAGGATGATGTGCTGTTCTGTACCAATGATGGAAGTGGGCATAGCATTGGTATCAAAACCAGCATAGAACTGGAAGCTGAGCTCTTCCAGCTGAAGATGGCTCAATAGTTCTTAACTAGTCTGTACTTGCTTTGTTCTCAATCATTTCGTGGAAACTCAGAAAGCACAGTTGTAAGGTCACATGAGAGGCGGCTGGCCTTCTGACTGAACTGTCTTTTTGTTTTGTGTCCCAGGCGAAACTTAGCGATAAGCCTTCAATTGTCATTGTGCTCCGGATCTTGAGGGATATGTGTAGGCGTAATCCATCCATGACCCCCCTCTCTGGATGGGTGAGATACTTTTTCCTTCATAAAAAAGTATATTGGATCAAATGATCACATATTGTCAGTTTTGTATGTTTGAACAGTTACTTGTTTTTATCATTGATTTTCACAGATAAGGTTTTTGTTCTTGTCTGTTTGTTTGTTTGTCTGTAGCGTTAGCAAAATATCTCTTTATCAACACATGTCTGAAATTAATTGGTGTAAACACAGAATACCTTATGAACCGTATTTATTTGTGTAATGTTACCCCACCATTTTTCTTAGGTTAAAAAGCATTAAAAAAATCTAATTATGTTTATTGTTACTCCTAATTTCTCTCTGACTTCAGGATTTGTCTGACTTTGTGGTAGAGCTTGAAGTGCTCCAGCCGGGAGCTGTGTTTATGACGAGAGCGAGACATCCTGCCGGTCCGCCTCAGCTTAACTTTAGTTAATAGACAGGCATCGCATCCAATCACAATTGAAGCTTTCGTTGTCTTGACTAATTCTTAACAACAAGGCCGGTCATAAAACTGCAAGCACACGTATGTATGTGGCTTCGCGGTCAAATTAAATGAAGAAGATTGAGTTCGTCACACCGTAACAAAATACAGTTTTAATGGAGAGTGCAGTAAAAAACAAGTTGCGCTCTACCTTCTCCATAACAGGTGGCGATTTTGCCACTCAAGTGCGGCGCCTCCTACTCTTGACTGATGATTTTTCCCCCCTTTGGAGCAAATCGAAGTGCAGGCACATGAGTCAAATGACTGATTTCAGTCACTCTAGCTTGAAAGACAGCATCTCAGCGATCCATTAAATTTTTGACAAAAGTACAGATTTTAAACTACACACTAGTTTTTAAATTGTGTTGATAGGCCAAGTAAAACCAGAGTTATGATAAATAATCCACGCCACATATTTTTTCTGAAAGTCATCGTCATATCTGAAGTGCGTTGAGCGAGAGGCTGCAGCAAAAACTGTCATTCTCAGACAAAACACCCCCATCACCCTCCACTTTCACCTCCAACTCCTGCCGAACAGATAAACGACTTCCCCCCTCCTTTCTGACGGAGGCTCAGTTATTTGTCAAGCACCAAAATATCTACAGGAGGAAGAAGAAAAAGGCACGGAAGTTGAATGGAGTTCAGTGCGCAATAGTCAATTCAATTCAGTTTTTTTATATAGCGCCAAATCACAACAAAGTTGTCTCAGGGTACTTTACAGAAACATTCACATAAAAGCCAATTAGTAAAGTTCTCTATCTAAGGAATCAGCAGACAAGTTGAATCTAGTTGGCGAGAGCAGGTGTGAGTCATAAGGTGGGATGTTGAAAATGATGAGCATGATTTGTTTTAGAAGAGGAAGAGTGGACCGAGTTCCACTAGGAGGTCTGACTCTGAGCAAACGAGGGGGTCCAGAACCTCTCTGACTGGACCAAAAGAACCAAACGTCAGTTCTGAGCTCTGGTTAACAGAGGAGGATTTGAATGTTGACCCAGAAAACAAATTAAGTTTTTGAGCTGCTTGCATTCCGACTTACTACGGGCAGTGCAAACCAAACTCTCGCACGATTGTATAGGGACCGAATAGCCCATAATAGGTCGCCAATCCCATACTCACCGAGCACCCCCCCACAGTGTACCCCAAGGAACACAGTCGAATGCCTTTTCCAAGTCCTACCCTGCCAGAGAAGTCGCATTCCATGTCCCAAGAGCCAGCTTTGGTAAGCCAGAGTCAAAGCACCAAGGCCTCGTGCACTTGACTCGTATGGCCCCTCTAGCAGGTGGTGGGCCCACTGGAAGGCAAACTCATGCTTCTCATTCGGGCTGAGCCTAACCGGCCTCATGGGTGGAGACCCGGTCACCAGGCGCTCACCAACAAGTCCCTCCCCCAGGCCTGGCTCCAAGATGGGGTCCCAGTAACCCACATTCGGGCAAGGGACACTGAGCTCCTTGCTGTTTGCTTTCCACCCTTTTGTCTCCTTCATATAAAAAAAATGCTTTGGACACCCCCACACACACATTTACCATTAGTTCACCCAGCACTGGTTCTATTTCTTCTTGAATTAATCCATTCCACTTGATTAATAGGAGAATACTCAAACCACTAAAAGTCCACTCCGGGTTTTCTTGATTTTTTTACAACTCACTGCATGCAGTGTTTCTCCTCCGTCACTTGGCTTGGCAAGATGTTCACCTCTTCAGGGTTTTTTGTTGACTGGGTGTGGGGAAGAGTAGGATACACCTCTGTGTTGTATGCTAACTTAGTGCTTCATTAGCGCTGGCAGTTGTTGACCAGGGTAGAGGTGTTGGGATGCTTGAGAGAAGCTGAGGGTGCTCTATTCACACAAGGAGAGCTGTTACGTCTGATTACCGTAATTTCCGCCGTACTTGTTGCACCTCCCTATAAGTCGCATCAGTCCAAATATGTCTAAAATGGAAAAATCCATAAATATGTCACTTTGCCATTTTCGTCGCATCTATTATGCATCACTGCTGATGCATCGCGTTTGTTACGCGTCACCGCTGACAACCCGGAAATGTGGGCCAAACCCGGAAATGTGGGCTTGTGTTGTGCCAAAAATCGATGGGCTGCCAAATGGCGACCGCAGGAGCGTGCACAGGAGGACTTTAACAAGATTAACATTTAAAAACAATTATTTGTTTGCTCGAAATGATAGTAAAGGTGTGTTTCAGTCTACCTTTTGCTTAATACATGCAATTTGATGGTCAAATCATCTGTATTTCAAAACCCGATTCGCGGGGACGTGCAGAGGGACGAGCCTTCACATTTTTTTGAAAGTTAACAAAATAAACACGTAAAAACAATTAATGGTTTGCTCGAAATTATAGTAAAGATGTGTCTCAGTCTTAACGTTTGCTTAATAAAAAAACTTTTAACGGTCAAATCAGCTGTGTTCGCCGACACGGTAAATTAAAAAATGTTCAAGACAAAAACGAAGTATAATAAAGTCCAGTTGTTTTTGTATTGAACTTTATTGAATTTGTCATTATAGCCACTTTTACCTATTACATGATACAATGGCATGCCATACTGCTACTACTACTCTGCTGCTATCTAGTGGCTGAAAATGGTACTGTTCTTTATTTTGTTTGTTTTGTTTTTTGTTTTCAGTCAGAATAAATGAAAATGTTTATATCTCAGCCAAAAATTGGTTTATAAATATGGGGAAAAAATCCATAAATACGTTGTTTCGGCCTTTAAGTCACAAAGTGTGCAAATTATGCAAAAAAACAGGACTTGTAGGCCGAAAAATACGGTAACTACAAAGTTGCTGTGCGTCATCATTAATGTTCTCAGCTATTTTTGCATTATACATAAATATATTTGGTAGGTAATATTTTAGTATAAAACATAGTCTCTTTAGCTGCCCACTTTTACACTTTTTTATGTGTTAATTTTAAGTAGCGTTTGAACTGAAAACTTTAATACTTTTGATTATTTATTCATTTTTTATGTTTTTCTCCTTCATGAAGCTTCTTGAGCTGCTGGTAGAGAAGACTGTCAGTACAGCTAAGAAAGAAATGGAAGTAGGCGAAGCCTTCCGCAGAGTTTTGGAGTGCATCTCCTCTGGAATCCTCTTAGAAGGTGAGATTTATTGAGTTGTCAACAAAAAATGTTACTTTTAGCCCCTATATAATTATTATTATTTTTTTTTAAAGGTTCGCCTGGCATTAAAGATCCGTGTGAGAGAGAAGACATTGACGTCACCACATTTCTGACTGAACAGCAACGTGAAAGCATCACTCAGTGCGGTCAGGTACATTAAAAGCATGCAGACACAAATTACAACTATATTAGAAAATGACTGGATGCCTTTTTTGTGGGGGCTTTGCAGAACATGTTGAGGCTGTTTGCGTTTGGAAGACTACGCAACGTGTTTGGGCTGTGCCACAAATTCTTTAAGCATTTAAAATATCTCTCTTCGATGGCAGTCAACACCGCAGAGGGCCCAGGTAGATAAGATTCCTAGTGTAGTCACTATTTTTTTAATCAAATTATATCCTCTCATGCTAGTTTCTTTTGTTTCTTACAGCTTACCTGTTACCTGCTGCTCCCTTCAGTCATTCAGTAAAGAGACCGTACTCTGAGGTGGAGGGACAGGGAGAGTCCAGTGATGGCTACAAACTGCAAAAACTAAGCGACATTGATGATTGCCTGCCAAGGGTCTTATGTCAGTATTAATTCTAACAGGCTTTGATTGATCTGAATTGTTATTTTACTTTTTTTCTCGTCATTCTTCAGTCTATCGTCAGTGGTCATTTCATACCGTACCTCACCGCACATCTTTATTTGCAAATCACTTGTAAAATTACAACACGGCTAGGGCTGGGTATCGTTCCAAAATTTTCGGTACTCGTACCTTCACTTCGATATCGGTTCCTGAACAGTACTTTTTCTGTACCAATTTTATAATTAACATCAATATTAACGAGAAGAAAATTACATTACACATTACAGTACAAATCTTGAGTTATATTTTTTACCTGGTGTTTTTCCATTACAAGCAGTTTTCTTAGAAAAAATCAACAAAAAATTTCCATTGCAAAAGAATAGTTGCAAACCAGTGACACGTCAGTGTCTAATGCTCACTGCTACATACTGAGGACCTTTTCACTTAGTTTTTCTTCAGAAAAATCAACATTCTTTCTCTGGACACAAACAAGCCCGCTACTGGCTGATGGTGTCTCCAGCAGTAGAAAATATTCTCTCTGAGGTAGGGATGAGGCCGATCAGATATCGGGCCCCGATACTAGCATAATTTACGTATCGGATTTTTCCTATCCAACCTGCAGAGATTTCCGATCCATGATGCATGACTGTGTCTGCTGAAACGTCTCCACATGCAATTCCCTGCCGGCTTCTCTGCAAGTTGGCTTCAAACTATGGAATGGATTAACTTAATGGTGGCGTGTGTCATGAAACCCAAAGTAATAAGACCTGCCTCACATTCAGGAAATCCATTTCATAGTTTGCAGCCAGCTAAAATGTGAGTAAATATGTGAGGACTGAGCAGAGCAGCACTGTGGCTAACAGCTAACCAAACTTTTCATCGAAACATGTCCGCTGTATGGAAGTATTTTACACTAGAAACACCACAAAGCAAGACAGCAATGTGCAATGTCTGCAGAGCCACTGTACCGAGAGGAGGAAGCTCCTTCGCAACCTACAATACAACGCACTTAATCAAATATAGCACTACATTAAACCGCGGTAAATTTAGTTTTCCATTGGACATTCGAGCTCCGTGGCTTCAGCGGTGTGTTCTTCTCGTTCGGTCCGAAGCAGGCAGTCTGATTTCGGTCAGCCCTGCTCAGTCTGCCCCTCTTCCGAGACAGGCAGACTGAGCGGGGCAGATTGAGCACGGCTGACCAAAATCAGACTGCCTGCTTTGGACTGAAGGAGAAGAACACACCGCTGAAGCCACGGAGCTCGAATATTTACTGAGAAGTTGCTAAACTTCATCGTAATTAATGACCAACCACTATCAATTGTAGAAAACGATGGGTTTCACAGCTTGATTAAATAATTGCAGCCAAGATATAGTTTACCCTCCAGGAGATATTTATCAGTACAACAGTAGGCCATCATAAAAAAGCATATGAATTGAAAAATACAAGGAAATTATATATCTAAAAAAAAACGGCTAGATTATAAAGCGATGCAAAATACTTCTTCCTTTCCGGGTCACGGGGGTATCGTGCCCATATCCAGCCATAACTGCGAGAGATGCCCTGAACAGGTCTCCAGTCCATCACAGGGCCACATAAAGACAAATGAGACAAACAGCCATTCACTCTCATTCACACCTAGAGACAATTTAGAGTTACCAATCTGCCAAATGTTCATTCAGCTTTACGGATGTTTTTGGTCTGTGGGAGGAAACTGGCGTACACGGAGAGAACCCATTCATGCACAGAGAGAACATGCAAGAGATGTAATTATGTCGGTGTTTGCACCATCCCGTAAACAGAACCGAGTGCCCTCCCCCCCCCCTCCAATCCACCTGTCGGTACTGACATAACACTAATTAGCTTTGCACAATACTAGCTAGCTAAAATGCTAAAAACAAACGATGTGCGGCTTGGCTGCATCTCCATCCAGCTCTAAACTGCGCGTACAGACAGTGACAGCTCAACTGTCTCTCCCTCCCCCCACCAGCGCAGGTTGGCTTTTTTTTCTCCCCGCACCCCGCTCTGAGCTGCTGGTGCGGGTGCAATGGGTCCCCCACTCTCTAAACAGCTGGTACAAACACGCGCAGGTCAGCTGTGTTTCTCAAGTTCCACCGTCCATGGACCAAGAACACAAGTCAGGTGATCAAAGACAGAGCATCAGAGAAATGAATCATTCCTGCAGGAACAGAGGAAGCTGAAACACCACAAGCTTCAGGGTCAGCTGATCACCTTGTCACAAGTTTTGGAAGTTATAGCTCATTTAAAGGCAACATATATTTAGTTGTACGTTACATTTATGCTCAACAGATCTTAAGTTTGATTTTATTCAGTTATTTTGGGAGACTGCACCTGCACTTTAGTTTTTGTGGTAGATTTTGTTGAACTATATTTTGTACAGACTTTTTCAGTCTAAATAACAGAAGGATAATTTTTATTTTTATACTTCGAGACTGTCAATGCACAGATTTTTAAGGCTAATTTTAACGCAATGTAGGAATATCGATATAGACCAGGAGTGTCAAACTCACTTACAAAAGGGGGGCAAAATTAAAACCTTTTTCAAACTAAGGGCCGGTTTCAGAATCTATTAACTCAAGTTAGACACCCAACATATTTTCTTGGTTGCAGATTCCTAAACAAGAGTTTGATTGATCTCATTTGATGTTCTCTGTTGCACTTTTGACATAATAATCAAAGATTACTGAAAAAAAAATAGTGATAAATTTATTTTACATTTTAAATAACATCTTGAGGGCCAGATAAATGTCAACAAGGGTCACATTTGGCCCCTGGGCCTTGAGTTTGACACATGATATAGATGATATAGTCTCATCTTATATCACGTATGAAATTATCTTGATATTTTTAAAATATCGAGATATTTGCCCAGCCCTACCGTTACCATTCATTTCAATGTTTGGGGTGGTTCTTGTGGATGCATCCTTTAGCAAGTACGAGAGGAATATGATTTTGGTTCTCTTCTAGCCAGGACACTTATGTTTTGCAGATGGAAGTATCCACATCCTAACGTCAACCATCCAATAAAATATTTTTTAATATTTGCTCCTCTTTAAAAACTGGGGGAATAAAAGTTACCGTTTTCAAAAGTTTTACCCTTTGAATGTATTGGTAAAATAAATCACGATACGCGTCAGAACAACTTGTTTTATCCAATTTAGCTGAGGTTTAATTGAGGTTTTTGTGTTTTATTCTTTACCTGTTTCTCTTGTAGTCTCAAAAGATTCAAACATAAACCCTGTGATGCGATTAAACCATTACGCCTCCTCCCTGGAGTTCCGGCTCGTAGACCAAAGTGGGCCGACCCATGTGCCGGTCTTTACGATGGCTGTGGAGGTAAACGGGAAGGTCTACCAAGAAAAAGGACCATCCAAGAGAATGGCCAAACTTAACCTTGCAGCCAAGGCAAGAGTCGTTCATTTTTATCCACACGAGCTGATTTTTGTTTGTCAGCCAGCCCACATTCAAAGAAACATACAAAGCTTCCAGGCATATAATTTGAACAATAAAATCTTTTTGTTGTTGTTGTTGTTTTGCTTTCTTTAAGACAATTTGCCAAAATCTATTCTGTGTGGAAAACAGATATGTTATGAGATTTAACCATCTAGAACCATCTAGCTGCAACTCTTTTTCCTTGCATAGGTTCTGCAAGATCTTGGTCTTCCAACAGGCATGTTAGATAGACCGAAGTCCGTAGATGATGCTGCTGGGACCCAGAAATCGGCTGAAACTGATTCCCAAACCTCAGCTTCGGATCCGGTGCTTACCTCTTCTGAAATATTGGGTTTAAATTCTTGATTTTAAAAAAAGAACAAGAAATCAAAATAAATATTAGAAAATGATTTGGGTTGCTATTGTAATATTTTTTATTTTTTTTTTTTTTTTTTTTTTTTTTTTGTGTGAACAGATTCGTCAGGGTCACATCTTGACAAAAAGTGGCAAGAATCCTGTCATGGAGCTGAACGAAATACGCCGCGGACTAAGGTACGAGGTGGTCAAGCCTAAAGGAGCCCACCGTCTAAAGTGCTTTCATATACAGGTGAGTGAGCATAAATACACGCCAGAAACAAAGCTGATAAAACCATCAGAAGCATTTAGCTTTTCTTTTCCCCCTTCCTGATTCTTAGGTGGAAGTCGACGGACGGATGTTTACTGGGAAAGGGCTCAGTAAGAAGGAGGCGAAGGCCTATGCTGCTCTTGCTGCTTTGGAAAAGCTGTTCCCAAATGGCAAGAGCACTTCAGATGATGGCAAAACTGCTGAAAAGAAGAAGGGCACCTACACTGACATGGTACTTCATTCACCAAGCCATCCTCAATTTATTAATCTCAAGTTGACTTTAATATCAGAGCCGTTTGAACTCCCCCCACACACACACATACACACACACACACACTTTTCCTGTTTCAACAGCACATTCCAGGATTTGGCACCATCCGTGGCATTCCATCAGATTCTGGGACCCGTGGCTGGGGTCCCAACAGAGGGGGTCGCGGCAGAGGACGTGGCAGGGGCCGTGGCGGACCTTTTCCTTCAGGAACAAGTTATAACATGAGTAAGAAATGTTGCACAAGATCCTATAAGCAACTGGTACAAACATGTACTTCTATAAGAAAGTCAACCGAATAATTTTATTTTTAATTTTAAAAGCTAACTACAGCTATGAGGGCAGCACCGACGCAGGCTATCGTAAGTATCTGAATATATATATCCCCCCCAATATTATCTTGGTGTAGATAGAATAGAATAGAAACAGCCTTTATTGTCCCACGGATGGGAAATTCAAGTGTAACAGCAGCAACAGATAAAAATATTTCACACAAGTTCCTAAATGTTAACGATATATAAAGAAATAAGATAACCAATATCAATAATAATGTTCAATATGTGTTGGAACATTGATAAGGACAGACTATTTACAATACAGTATTATAGGCAGAGTGTGTGTTTTAGCAGAGGTCAGCATGTATTTAATCCTTATTGAGTCTGTTGGGAGCAGTGATGGTTGTAGAGTCTAAAAGCCGCTGGGAGGAAAGACCTGCGGTAACGTTCTTTTGTGCATTTAGGATGCAGATATCCCCATCAACTCCTCTAAGGCACCAGTGCCAAAGTGGTTCAAAGTGAACCAGGCCATTTTATCACTAGCAAACTATATATATATATATATATATATATATAGATATAGATATAGATATAGATAGATAGATAGATACATCCATCCATCCATCCATCCATCCAATACCATACCATACCATTTATAAAGCCGCCTCGACGATAGAGGCACGGAACATGGCCCACTCGGACTCGATGTCCCCTTCCTCCCCGGAACATGTTCGAAGAATCCCACTTCAAAGAAATAAAACCTAGTTTGAATATATTTTACTGCTTGTGTTAGTTTTAATGTATTTGCCAAAGAAATGGGAGAAAAACTAGCTGTTTTGTTGTTGTTTGTACAACCTATTAGGGATGACCGATAAGGAAATTTTGGCTATCGCCAATACTGATATTGGGAGGAGAGGATAATGCTGATAACAATATATTGTCAGAAATTTTTTTTGCTTTGCCCACCCCCAAGAAACCATACAGTTTTCATATATGTTGCAAAAACATAAATTAAACAAAGAAAAACCCTTCCCTGTTCATTGTTTAAACAGTCAGATGGTGAATGTCTAATTATTATTGACCGCAGCAGCATTATTTTTTTTCTTTGCTGAGAAATAAAGATTTTAGACAAACAATGCATTTCATCGAGGACGACAAGGATAACGTTACTAACATGGATATATTTTACCTCTACGTTAGATGTATTGTTCTGGCTATAGTTCTACAAGGCAATATCCAGTGCGAGGTTATCTAAATGTTAGCTTGCTGAATTTAGAGGAACATAGCTGTGGTATGGAGGATTGACAAGAATTTTATTTGTTGATTTATTTTTATTTTACAGATCAGTTAAAATAAACTTACCATGCTCAGTTCTCAGTATCCTACACTGTATTTAGTTGCTCACTGCTTGGGCTGTTCCGTGTCAAGTGTGCAGCATGACCATCACTTGAAAGTAGTCCGCATGTGCCCTCTGCTGGATACATTGTACAATTATGCCATTTGCAAGTAAGGACACGACTTGTTCCCAGTGTTCATATCGGCACATAATGGGACAATTATCGCAGATACCAATATGTCTCCAAACGCCTGTATCGGCCCTACCGATATATTGATTGGGCTCTACATCTTATGAAGGATTTGGTCAAAGCTTAAAAGAGCCGCATGTGGCTCAGGAGGCGCAGGTTTCAGACTGCTGGCTTAGCTGAATAAGCATAAAAATACCAATCAAAATATTAAGCCTAAACTAAAACCATAAATTACATCAAAAGTACAAATGAAATATTCAGTACCATGTAATGTCAGGATGTAGACTACAACTGTCCAGTTTCATTATTTTCTGTTCAACTAGTGTTGATGGGGAAATATTTGAAAAAGGGCGAGAGATTGACGTGGATTAAGACGTGGTGAGGAATTGTTTACCTTACCAGCTCAGTACTGAGTTATGTTTTTCTCCATTAGTTCACTAAAAATACACTTTAAAAGAAAATTTCTAGTAGTCAGAAAATCATTAAACGTGAAACGACCACAGTAGCACTGATGTGACTCATCAGGGAATGTATTTGAATCTTACTGTTTTTAAAAAAAAAAAAAATTCCACTTAAAACAAGTTAATAGTTTTCCACAGCACCGACTCTGAAGCTGATTTTTCCGGTCTTTTTCAGATAAACTGTACGGTAACGCAGGACAAAACACCGGAATGAGTGAAACGGGCGCCTTCGGCACATATGGCTTCGAGAGCACCTCCTTTGCCTCCCCACAGGCTTCGGCCTCCAGCAGCATGGGCTCAATGCCTCCTCCAGTTGATCAGCAGAGCCCATACAGCTACGGCTACGGAGAAGAGAAGAAGAAGATGCTGACCCAAAATCAGAACCAGGGGGAGGATTTCTCCATTTACAGCACAGCTTATCCCAGCTCTGTCACAGGAGGACATTCGTACAATAATTGCGGTAAGAAGAAAGGCTAAACAGAAATGGTTTTGGATGTTGTTTCATAGATGGGTGGATGAATGAATTGTGGTTGGATGTCTTTGCACAGGGTGGGAGAACCAGTCGTTCTGAGGGATTTGGCACCTTGGGACACAACCAGCAGTGATCCTGTCTCCTCGCACTGCTGTTTTTTTTTTTTTTTTTAACCCTCAGCCTGGACGCTGATGCTGAAAAAACTCGTCTGTTAACAAAAAACATACATTTTGTTAGTGAAATCGGAATGTTTCTGTTTTGTTTCATCACCCTTTACCGATGTTTGTAGTTTGTAGACACCAGATTATCTGTAAAGTTCAGGCCCAACTTAAAACGAGAATTCCTTTCTTTGAGCTTCTGCTTCAGTTTATCTGTATCAGTTATCTATGTTTAATAAAGAGTGCGATTCTGATTTAAGGCCAATTGTACGGTAGTTATAAAATAAATGTTTGTTGTCATTAAGATGCTCCAAAGTTTGTTTCCTGGACATTAGCTTACTCTTGATTTGAGTCAACTCTCAGTCTAGTAGTTTCCTTGAACGATTGTTGAACATTAAATCTGTCACAGCCGACGTCAGGAGAGCAGTGATTTCAGCTCAGAGGACACCGCTTAGCTTTCCTTGAAAACGCCCAAGATTTTTCCCACATTTTGATTTTCTGCTTTCACAAACGACTTCTACTACCGATGTAATAAGTTTAAATGGTTGTACTATTTTACAGGGCCAAAAATGAAAAATGTATCCAAATTAAGTCGGATCCAATTATTAAAAAGTAAAGCTCAGAGATTCCTTAACTGGTTGCACATATACCAGAATGTTGAATTAAAAACCATTTTTATGATTATCATTCTAGTCTACTCTTTTAACCTGCCTTATGGGTTAATCCTCAGACTATGTGTTGGGAATCAGTCTCGGCTACTACCACACCTGATTTTAGGTCGATAAATATTCAGTGGAGTTTGTGAACTTTAGATATTTTTTTTTTTTAATATTTCTGCATAAATGTGGCGTAAAACATCACCAGATGTCCTAAATGTTCACACAAGTCCTAAAAGTTGATAAAGAGAATCCAGTGACACAAATGAGACAAAAAATATTATACTGTCATTTATTTATTGAGGAAAATGATTCAGTATTCCATCTTTGTGTGTGGCAAAAGTATGTGAACCTCTAGAATTAGCAGTGATTTTGAAGTTGAAATGAGGTGTTTTCAATCATTAGATGATGATCAGGTGTGAGAGGGCACCCTGTTTGATTTAAAGAACAGGGATCTATCAAAGTCTGCTCTTCACAACGGGTTTGTGGAAATCTATCATGGTACTAACAAACAAGAGTTGTTGATGCTCATCAGACTGGAAAAAATTACAAAACCATCTTAAAGATTTGGACTCACCAATCCAGAGTCAGACAGATTGTGTACAAATGGAGGAACTTCAAAACCATTGTTACCCTCTCCAGGAGTGGCGGACCAACAAAGATTGCGCCAAGTGTAATCGTTTGCGAGGTCACAAAGGACCCATGGGTAACTTCTAACAACTGAAGGCCTCTCACATTGACTGATGTTAATGTTCACGAGTCCACCATCAGGAGAACACTGAACAACAATGATGTGCATGGCAAGGAGAAAGCCGCTGCTCTCCAAAAAGAACATGGCTGCTTATCTGCAGTTTGCTAAAGATCGTGTGGACAAGCCAGAAGACTTGGAAGAATGTTTTGTGGACGGATGAGAACAAAATATAACTGATTTAATGAAAAGTGTTTGGAGAAAGGAGAACACTGCATTCCTGCATAACCTTATCCCAGCTGTGAAACAGTATCATGGTCTGGGCCTGTTTTGCTGCATCTGGACCAGGACGGCTTGCCATCATTAATGGAACAATGAATTCTGAATTATATCACAAATATGTATTAATGGAGCATTTCTTTCCCTCAATCAATAAATGACTCAAGTATATTTTTGTCTCATTTGTTGAGCTAGGTTCACTTTACCTACTTTTAGGACTTGTGTGAAAATCTGAAAATATTTTAGGTCATATTTTTGCAGAAATATAGAAAATTATAATGGGTGAAAATACTTTAAAGCACCACTGTAAAACTGTGAGAGCCATTTATGAGCAAACTACATGCATCACAAGCTTAACGTTATTGCCTCTTTGGCGGAGGGCGATAAACAGTATTAGACACGCAAAATGTGTAAACTTTGCATTCAGGTTTTTTTTATTGCTCAAATGTAAATGAAGAATATTCAAACTGTGACGTTTTTAAGAGAAAGGCGTTTTGTGGCTTCGAACGTTCACGGAGCTTTGATCTGTTTTTATCTGACCGAAAGTGTGTTGTCAGCTTATTTCTGTTAAAAAAAACAACAACATTGTTTAAAATACCTTCATGAAGCGCACGTATAGTTTGAATGATTGCATTTGTGTTTAGGTACAAAGACTGAAGTGTGTGAAATGGTGAAGGACTAAACAAACATTCAGACACCAAGGAAGAGAATGAGTGCTGAAAACTATAAAGAATTAATCGACTCAAATTATAACTTTAAAACCAGAATCGAAGCTAAAATGGGACTGTGGCTTCTTTCGGCTTTTCCCTCTTCAGGGGTCGCCACAGTGATTCATCCTCCTCCATCCCACTCTGTCCTCACTCCCAACTACCTCCATATCCTCTTACTGCATCCATATATCTCGTCTTTGGCCTTCTTCTTTGCCTTCTTCCTGGCAGCTGCATTTCTAACATCCTTCTACCAATATACCCACTGTCCCCAGGGCCAGATTAACACTTCGTTGTACCCTGGGCAACAATCTTCAAGGGCCCCATCATCATGACCCCAGAATCACCATAATCTGGCAAAATACAGAATAAATTACCATAATATACAGTAAATATACTTAAAATTCTAACTATCAAGTGTATTTTTATGTATAAAACTCCAAATGCTCATTGACACAAATCAAGACTGAATTAAGTTGAATGCACTTTGAACACCACACGACACCGTATGTGTACTTGTTTAGTAAAATGTTAGCCACTGGTGTCAGAAGCATTTGTAATGTGTGTGGGGGGGGACACACTGATGGGAGAAAAATTTGAATAAAGTAGATGCCATCTGGAGGTGTAAATGTCTGTGATGGTGGGGAGACTGACTCCAACAGACTTCTGTGCAGCTTTCACCACTCTCTGCAAAGCTTTTCTTTCTGCAGCTGTGCAGCCTCCACGCCACACGTTGATGCTGGAGCACAGGATGCTCTCCACTGCACACCTGTAGAAGGAGGTGAGGACTGCTTTCCTAAAAGAGCTTGAATTTAAAATTAGTAAAACTTCCTATAAGCTCAAAATTGTTAGAATTAGCAGAACAGGAGCCAAAAGTGGCCTACATACACTGACGTAGCTTTCAGGTGTTCATTCAGATGCTAATTTATTTATGGGGGACGTATTTTTGTAAATAAACTTTAGTTCGAACACTGAAACCTACAAATACTGAAAGTTGTAACACACCAGTTCCAAAAGCGGCGTAGGAATGATTCATTCGCACATAGTCTGCAGAAGTAGAACGCACAAAAAAAGTTTGGAAAATAATATAAAAATAATAAACGGGAAAATGAGACGGGGAGGGAAATGATACAAGAAAAGACTGAAGTGACGTTTAAAAGTGGAGTCTGGACATGAGCTGTAACAAATGTTGAGTAACACGTGGCACCGTTGACCCCTTTGTCCCGGCCCTGAGTCAGAGTGTGAACCACAATCATGCCTCTGCAGCGTGGCCCCCGGTGGCTCCTCCTGAGGCCTCTCCTCCTGCAGCGCTGATAAAAGACGATGAGTGGAGACGGGGCTGTGCGAGGACAGAGGACTGCAGAGCGCACATCTCTTCTAATCAGCTGTGAGTGTTTTATCTTTTTATTTCTGTGCACAGACGCCAAACTTTAACAAGATCAGTGCCGTTTTGATTTTGTTTTGTTTTAGGCCCTATTTGATTTGTGCACACATGATCTATTCAGCATTAAACAATGACCTCTGACCCCCTCGGCCGCATGGACATGTCCACATTGATTGGCCTCCTGCAGAGACGAGCCATCTGGGTGCTGCACCAATCGCTGGTCACCACCAGACAAAAAAAACGAGATAAGGGTGTTTTTGTGTAACCGAAAGCAAAGAAAAAGGAAGCGGAGGCGCGCAGGCTTTGCTGAGCTCGTTGTTCCGCATTTGTTGCTCGCACAGATCACAGCTCTGGTGTCACTGCACTTCTTGTGTTGTTAGGTTTTTGTTCAGGGCCAGGTGCTAACAGGAAATATGTTGTCTTTAAAGATGGCGCTCACACTTTTATCCATCCTGACGGCTGCCGTTGGAGTGACCCACTGCTTTCCGACTGTCTTCCAAGACCTGGAGGACAATGGTGGTAGGTATCGCTGCGCTTTTTCATCTCGATGCGACGTCTTGCTCCTAAATGACTCGTGTGTCGCACCTCATCAGGAAACAGAACCTCCATCAGGTTCCTGGCTGTGGGCGACTGGGGAGGGTTACCGTACCCACCATACGTCACTGCCGTGCAGAAAACGACGGCTCGGGAAATGAGCAAAGTAGCGGAGCATATGGGAGCGGACTTCATTCTGGCCCTGGGTGATAACTTCTACTTCAGAGGTGTGGACAGCGTTGATTCCCAGCGGTTTCAGGTCAGTTGAGTGTCCGGCGTGGGGTGATGACTTAAAAAAAAAAAATTTTTTTAAACTGTCGCAGTCATCTGAGTCTCCTCCATCAGGAAACCTTTGAGTCCGTGTACACGACCAAGCCCCTCCAAGTACCTTGGTATGTTCTCGCTGGCAATCACGACCATGCAGGAAACGTGAAAGCTCAGATTGAGTACACTCTGAAATCTGACAGATGGTAAGCTGCTCGTGAAGATGAACGGCTTTTTTTTTTTTTTTTTTAAGGTCTACATTTTACAACTTTTAACGGTTCCTTGTCTTTTAGGAGATTCCCCTCGTACTACTACGAGCTAAACTTCCGCATCCCCAACACGGGGAAGACTCTGACCATCATCATGCTCGACACGGTGATGCTGTGTGGGAACTCCAACGACTTTGCGGACGAGAAGCCCAGAGGACCCCTGGACGCCTGGCAGGCGACCCGTCAGCTGCTCTGGCTGCAGGAGCGACTGGCTCGGTCCAAAGCGGACTTCCTGTTGGTGGCGGGCCACTATCCGGTGTGGTCCGTGTCGGAGCACGGGCCCACGGAGTGTTTACTCCAGAGTGTGCACCCTCTGCTCATTAAACACAACGTCACGGCGTACTTCTGCGGCCACGACCACAACCTGCAGGTCGGCTCAGCAGCACGTCGCCCCGGCTGTAAAATATGCCCGCTCTGTGCTCACGACTGCTTTCTGTCTCCACAGTACCTCGAGGAGTCGGGGGTGGGCTACGTGGTGAGCGGCGCCGGGAACTTCCTGGATCCTGACATCCGTCACTGGAACCACGTCCCCAAAGGGTCTTTGAAGTTCTTCACGGGCCAGGCTTCGACCCTGGGAGGCTTCGTTCATGCGGAGGTCTCCAAGAACAAGCTGGTCCTGACGTTCTTCCAGGCTAAAGGCGTGTCTCTGTACCGCACCGTCCTGACCCAGAGGACGATTCATCCGTCAGACGGCAACTGAGACAGCTGTCTGCTGCAAACAAGATTCACGCGTACAATCAAATCTGTAATCCTGCTTTTGACCTTTTACTTCTCAGCGTGCTATTTTAAAAAGAATCGATTTCAGCTGTAAGATAAAATAAATGTTTTGTAACGAATGTATTGTTGCCTTATTTTGACAAGGCTGCTGTTTTCAAGGACTTGTTCTTGTCGGGACTTGCACTTTAACGACATTTCCTTGATTATAAATCAGGTTTTTTCCGGATGAGTTTAAGTCATTGAGTGTACAGAAGTATTGAAGCATCCTGTGGAAAATGTTTATCCTGTGTCTCATTGTAAATAAACTGGTAGATAAGATTACACACCAACGTGCACAGCTTCATCAGGATTTGTGTGCTTTTGGTGGCTGTACGTCACAGTGTTGATAACGTTCGCACAAAACTGAGGGGAAAAACTGATTCTCAATGGGATTTTTGTAAAACCCGATTGAAAATCCAACCTTCTTTGGAGCTGTTCAGCTCAAACATACTCGACTGTAGAAACATTCAAAGTTTAAATGGGTCATAGAAAGTCGGACTTTACACGTCCAAATTGGTATTTTGACATCTTTTATGGTTTTAGCACAATCACAGTTTAAGTTTCATGATTTTTACAGTTTTCCATCAGAGAAGTTGCTGTTGCGTGTTCTTTTACACTGTAAAAAATGTTCTTTTGCAAAACCTCTTCTTACTCCCATAATTATTTTGTACATAAACAAATCACACATGAAAATGTGAGCCTTTTTGTCTTCTTTCACTCAGTGTCTCTCACTGTTGTAAGGATACTGGTTTTCTCAGAAATGAGTCCAAAAAGGAGACGGTTCACAATCAGACTTCTACAGACTTGTTATATTTTAACTCAAAATGCAAAAATGTGCACGTGACCATCAGAAGCTTCTGTCGGTCACATTATAGAAGGAACTTTTAAAAGCTCGCATATAGTATTTGTGCAGCAGCTGTTTGAGGCTTATTTTTCAGTCTGTTTCCATTCGGCATTACCTGGGCAGTCGGTGAGTGACAGATATTGGGTGAATGTTTATGAAACCTTCACACTGTGTGATCCATTTTTCTTATGAACATCTTTCAGCATCCATCTTGTTCCACAATTTTTGTGCTATTTCAACAAATCGTATATCAAAACATTCGGCTCGTTCAGAAGAAGGATGCTTTGACTTTTGGTATTGGTGCAACTTTAGCTTTTTGAAATATTTAGCCTTTTCTGCGCCTTTTTTGTCATAAGAAATGAATTGAGATCATTTCAGATCTGTTTACAACCTTTTACTGCTCCTTTCACATTTTGTCCTGGTTCAGCTTCTTTCAGCATCCTTCTGTAAATTAATATTTTTCAGCTACTTTCAGCTAATTTCATCTGTTGTTTCAGCTTTTTATGGTCCTTTTAGATTCTTTCTACTAACTACAACATTTTTGTGCTTCTTCTAACCTCTTTCTGCTAATTTAAGCTTATTTATGCAAGTTTCAGCCTTTTCTGCTATTTAAGCTACTATTTAGCCGTTTTTATGCTAATTTTAGCATTTTTGGCTAATTCCACATTTTTTGCACTCATTTCAACTTTTTTTTCAACATAATTCAGAAAAAATGTTCTCTCCACTTCCTTCTGGCAACTTAAGTTTTTGTCTGATTTTTTAGTTACTATTCAGCTGTTTTTTTTTATTTGCAAATTTCTTCATTTTTTCAGATAATTTCCACTTTTTTGTGCTCATTTCTGCTCTTTCAGCCTAAATGGGCAAACATGTTCTTTCTGTTTTCTTATGCTAATTTAAGCTTGTTCTACTTTTTCAGCTATCTGTTTAGCATTTTTTTTTTTTTTTTGCTAATTTCAGTTGTTTTCAGATAAATTCCAGTTTTTAGTAGTAATTTCTTTGAGCCTAATTAAATTGTCTCTGCTAATTAAAGCTTGTTATGCTCCTTTCAAATTATTTCTGCTACTTTTAGCTTTATTATTATTATTATTTTTGCTATTTCAGCTACTGTTTAGCTGATTTTATGCTAATTTAATCTTTTTCAAATAGTATACGTTTCTTGGCTCATCAGCCTTTTTTGCTTCCTTCTGGTAGTTTAAGCTTCTTTATGCCTTTTCAGCTATTTATTTATTTATTGCTAATTTCAGCCTTTTTTTTTTAATCAAATACCCTAATTTTTATGATAATTTCTGCTTATTCAGCAAACATGTTTTTTCTGTTTATTCTACTAACTTAGGCTTGTTCTTTAATTTTAGCTGCATTTCAGCGTGTTGTTTTTAGCTAATCTCAGCTGTTTTTCAGCAAGTTCTGCAATATTCACACTGCATTTTCACAGGAAATGTAATTTCTCTAGTTTAGATTATTACAAAATTACCATCTGTTGTAAAACCCATGAATAAAATGTTAAGCTGCTGTTTCCAGAGTGCACCTCAGGTCAAATAACTGAACAGCATCAACTTCGTTCACACTACAGATTTAATTCTGCATGAATGTTTCCATCGGCTTTGCCAAATCCTAAACAGGACGAGGTTTATTTGACCCTTGTTTTCTCGTGTATAAAGTTCTGACATATCAGCATGAATCATTATTTGCATCTGAGCCTAGTTACTTTCAGCTGATTAATCTTACTACCTTTATGTGCATTGTTTTTTTGACATTTTTAAAAGCTTATTTTGGGACCAAATGACTTTAATCAGCACGTCAGGATAATTTCGGTGTAAATACCTCCCATCTGCTGCAGCTGCATGTAAACTTCTTGCAGTAAACTCTAAACATCTGTAGCACTAGAAATAAATCATGATCTAAGACTAGCATTAAAAAAACTAAGCTGAAGGGAGATGTTATGGTGGATGACTGCAGGATCTTTTGTAAAAAGAGAATAATAAAAAAAGAACATGTTCCAGGAACGTATCCCGTTAAACCACAAGGTAAAGTTTAATGCTCACAAAGTGCAAATAACCTAAGCCTCAAGAATTAATCAGATCAGGTTTGGACAAGAAGAAACGGATCAGCCGGCGGCGGTGACGTGCTCTGCAGCCGAAAATGTGGCTTTCTGTCAGATGACTCGGGTATGCACGGATCCCGGACAATGTGACAGATTTAAGCAGGTTAGATTCAGATGACTAGTAGCCGAACTGCCCGAGCAGTGATTTACAGTAGAGACGGAGGGTTTGAAAGAAGTGCACCGCTTCAGCTGCTGTCAACCTTCATCGCTAAAAACAAGCAGAAAAATCCACAAGCGGCAACTTCTTACACAGCTAAAGTAGCGTCAGTGTTGTCAGTGTCTGAAAACCTCAAGACTTTTTATTATTTCTTCCATTTATTTCAGTTTTCTGGGTTAACTGCAGCAAAACATTAAATTAAACCTTTTATATGCAGCAAAACTGGGCCCAGCAGTGCAGCGAGGAACAAAAGGAGCTGAAAGAGCCGGACTATCAGGTCTTTAAATGTACATTTGAGCTTTGCTTCTCGTCATACAGCAGGGAGTGATGACGACATGGTCGACTGCAGCTGAAGGGCAGGACAGGACAGCACTTCCACAACTGCAGCTCATTTGGTCGTTACAGAACGGCCTGGCCTGCCAACAGCGGATTAGCCAGAACCGCAGCAGATTGGCAGCTGATGAACTAAGCCAACCGATGACAATTAACCTGGGAGGAAGGCAGAAACGCAGAACCAGCTGCTTTTTATCTGATAATTATCTGAGCTCTTATGAGCATAAAATCTATTCTTTAATGTGAGTCTAATGGAAAAGTTGTTTTTCCACGTGCAGTGCTAATTAAAGGCTATTTAAAGGTCTGTTAGTGAGGGGGATCCAGATCCAATTAGGATGAGTTTCAGGCTGTTAGTGTGATGCACCATCAGCCTGAGAGCTGGACTCACAGATCTCAGCCAGTGCTAAAGAAGTCAGCTGAGGTAATGTGAGGGTAAAGGCCAGGTGAGGATCGCTTAACTCTGACTTACGTAAATCCACCGCAGACCTGAAGAAAACCCCAGCAGCTTGCAGGCCGTGTCTCTTACCGATGATCCGACACCGTCTGAACTAAGACTGCTTCTCTGTAAATGAGAATTTCTCCCTCAGCAGGCAGTCCCAGTCTATGCTGATTGTGTTTTCATTTGAGCTGATGTTTGACTCAGAGTTTGCAAACCAAAAACGGTAATAAAGGAGACCCGGAGAAATGTCAGTTTCTCAACAAAAAATAAATAAAATGAAAAAAAAAAACAGTGTGATTGCTGAATCACTTGGCTGAAATTGGTTTAAGAATGAACTTTTTAGCTGAGCTGTCAAAGTCAGAACGAGCAAAACTGTAGCTAAAAGCTACAATTAACAAAATCACAGCTGAATGCTAAAATTAACAAGACAATGGCTAAGCTAAAAAGCTCATAAGAGGACATGAGCAGATTTGCTGATGTAAGTTTCAGAAATCAGTGCTTAAGGAACTAAAGAGATCTCAATGCATCCTGCATCTTTACATATTGAGTAAAGTTAAAGAGTTTTAAAAGTACAGAAGTTATAAATACTAAAAGTCACTGCACATTAATCTGAGCCGAACGTTTCGATTTATGATTGGTTAAAAAAAAGCACAAAGTGTGAGGAAGTAGTTTGATCATAAAAACCTCACAGAAGAAGCTTTCCAAAGGAAAACAATGTGAACGATGAATCACACTTTTTTTAACCACTGCTGGTGTTTTGTTGAGATGAGTGCTGACTCACCTGTCAGGTGACTTCTAAACTGCTGCAGGACAAAAAGGGAACAACTTCAGCAGCGCCTGACGGAGGCCAAAAGGTGTCAGACTAAAGGAAAAATGTGACAATGAACATCATGTCCTGAGTCAAATGTTTCAATCTCAGCTGATAATCAAGGTGCAAGTTAATTGAATTTTTAAAGCGTAAAAGAAAATGAACAGCTAATGTTCAGTTAAAACATTGTTCAATAGGTATTTTTGCAAGAAGTAAAGAAACAAAATAGAAATTGCAAGGACCAATGCTACACGATGGAAGC